CTCAAAGTATCTCCTATGAAGGGTGTTATGCGCTTTGGGAAGAAAGGGAAATTGTCACCGCGGTTTATCGGTCCATTCATGATTATGGATAGAGTTGGAGCTGTCGCTTATCGGTTGGCACTTCCGGATAATTTGGATAGCGTCTATAATGTGTTCCATGTTTCCATATTGCGGAAATTTCTGCGAGATGAGGATCAGTATCAGCATATCGATGTTGGGGAGATTGAGTTGCAGCCGGATGCAACTTATGTGGAGCCACCGTGTCGTATTGTCGACCGTCGAGATCAGATCCTTCGTAATAAGGTTATTTCTTTAGTTCGTGTGCAGTGGAGTCATCACAATGAGGCTGAATCCACTTGGGAACGGGAGGATGTCATTCGCTCGCAGTTTCCTGGATTACAGGAAGAAGGTCAGAGCAAATTCCGAGGACGGAATTCCTTTTGTTAGGGGGGAAGAATGTAATACCCCTAATTTTAAAAGGACAGTTCTGGAATTTAATTATTGTATTTAATTGCATTTTATTTTATTATGTGTCATTTTATTGGATTATTTGCTTGCATTCTTGACTTAATTGATTTAGTTAGACTATTTGTTTTAATTGCCTTATTTGGTTAATTGTATAATTGATTTAGTTTTAATTGCCTTATTTGGTTAATGGTATAATTGATTTATTTGTTTTAAATTGTCGTGATACTTAGGTGGTTTTAAATTAATCATTAAATAAATTAGAGTTTAATTTTTTTATATGAAATCATGTGTTGGGCCGATCACATTAGGGCTCAGTAGATAATTATACGTGGATTAGGGTTTTGGGAGTAAGCCTATAAAAAAAAACTCTGTTATGTCTTAGCCTAGGGTTTTGGTAAGAGCATAACACAAAACAGTTAAACGTAGGGATAGGTTGTGACAACAGTGAGATACAGAGGGAGAAACATAGAGAAGGATTGCAGAGGCAGAGGATTAGAGGTTCAATCTGAAACTCAAAGGCAAGTTTCTGTTCCGCTCTATTCTCTTTAATCTGTGTTCGGTACATGCTTAGCAAGACTCCAGGAATTAAAGTCAGACTTAATTGCATCTTTTCTACATCTGTAATTAGTGTTTAATTGCATGGAATTAAATCTGTTAATAGTTGTTTAAAAAAATTCAATCTGAAACTTAACTACCGTTGTGAAACAACTTATGTTTTAAATGCAATTTGTGTTTTAAATTCATGTCTTGATTTAATATCATTGTGTATGACTAATTTGGAAGAGGATGGGACTTTCAAACATGGATAAAACTAAGTTCAGAGATTTGAATTCACCGGAGTCAGAGAAGACGAGAGGAGAACAGGCTACGGCTCTTAGGGGTGAGAGCAGGCTCAAAAAAACGGAAGGAGCCTGCTCACACAAAGCTAGAGCCGGCTCTCTAGGGTTGAGAGCCGGCTCTCAACAAAATAAATACACATAAATACACATACTGGTGAAAAGTTCATAATGCCCCTCACCTAATGGCAAAACCGAGAGAGGTTCTCGAGCCCGAAAATCATCCCAACTTTTGAAAATTCTAAAATCCCCCCTGTCACTTATAAATGTCTAAAAATAATTAAAATTACATTTCTAAAATTCTCGACTCAAAAAAATGACTAAAACAGCCCTCGGGGGCCCGCGTGACACGTAAAACGAGGTAAGAAGAGAATACCTTCAAAAAAATTCCAGAAAATGAAAAATGATAAAAATCAGGATCATTACAATAGACAACTTAATTTATTGATGCAATAGTACTAGGAAGTCATTGTTTCATATTATAATAGGATACCTACTTCTTTTTTTTTTTTTTTTTTTTTTTTTCTCAGTTTACAGTAATGATGAAGAGCATGAATCAATCAATAATAATTTATTTGGGTATTGTTCCTTCAGATGTTAGGTGAAGAGAGAGGAAGAAAGAGAGTGAAAATTGAGGGTATTTTAGTCTTTTCAATCTTTTTGATATTTTTAAATATAGTAAAAGAATTAAAAAAAAATTAAGGGTAAAATTATCATTTTGCATGTTTTTAATGGTGTCATTGACGGAAAAGAGATTTGGGGTATGAGTGATAGTAATTTTTGAAAGATATTTGAGGGTAAGATTTTGCCAAACCTGAAGGGGTGTTAGTGAAATTAATCCTATAATCTCTGGATAATTGGTACAATAATGTGCATCAGTAAATGTATCTTTTGGACTTGAACAATTACTTAATGAAGACATTTCTAAGATTATCGAGGAACTTGGTGAATAAAGTCTTGAACCAGGAACCACGCTGACAAACTAGAAGTACCTCACACATATTTCTGTTCGGAGATGAAATACTGAAACTTTAACACTTTTCAGCCATGTGTCCTGAATCTATACTTCTGAGTGTCATTAAAGATCATTACTGTCTAGATCCTATAGAAATGCCCCTCACTTCTATACTCAGATCGGTGTGTCCATCAAGAGTGATCTTGCACACTATAATCGAATACTAGTTATAAACTCATTAAGAGAACTTAGTCTCATCATTCTCATTGCAAGATTAATTGGTGAATTTATCAAGATTGATTGTGTACACCCTAATCAAAAAACTGATATATAGAATTCATTAAGAAACCAAAGTCGCAATCTCCTTAACAAAAGATTAGTCGGTGAATTTATTAAGAGTGATCCTGTACACCCCAATAAAAAATTGATCTATAGATTCATTACGAGATCTAAATCTCAACCTCCTCAGTTACAGGTAGGGATGGCAACGGGGCAGGTATGGAGCGAGTTTGCCTAAATTCGTACTCGGCCCATTGAATTATGGACAAATCTATACCCGGCCAATACCCGCGACGAGTTTTAATTTCACAATCCATACTCGGCCCGTTAAGAGATAAGTGTACCTATACTCGCCCCGCCCTTCCCCATTTACGTTTTTTTTTTATTTTTTTTTATTTTTTATCTATATAAATAAATTGATAAATCTATAAATCTATATTATGTAAATAATGATATATAAATAATGATATATATATATATATATATATATATATATATATATATATGAACAAAATAATGCGCATACATTTATAACACATATATACATCTATATATATAATTTTTTTTAAAAAAATAAAGTATAAAGAGTGGGGCGGGACGGTACAAATTGACATCCCTAGTTACAGGATTAAGCAACCATATCACATTATAGGGAGAGGAACGTTGATGCTCACACAAGTTCTTCTGTTACTTGTTTTTCCCCATTTAACCCATATCATTGGGTTGGGTTGCCATAACATCACAACATTATTGATTATAGGCCTTAATTAAATCCCTTTAGATGTTTTAGACACTAGGTCCCTTCACATGTATTTCGAAAATGGATCTGCCAAATGAGATTTGGCCTTGGACAATAGGTTCATTCACATGTCTTTCGACAGTGGATATGCCAAATGAGATTTGGCCTCTACAGAATACTGTGATAATCCATTAGCCAAGAACTCTTCCATATGACTGTACTTCAATTACACACATTTGGACTTTCATTGTAACATTCGCTGTAAGCTTGAAACATCGCAGCCTTATTGTCACAAAATATTGTCAAATGTGGTATAGGCTTACTCCATACTGGAATATCCTCTAAAATACCCCTTAGACACTCAGCTTCCTCTCCAGTGAAGAAAATGCAATAAAACTCTAATTCCATTGAATAATGAGTTCTACAAGTCCACTCTTTTGATTTCTAAGAAATCATAACTTCACCCAAGGTGAAGATCCAAGTTAGTATGATGAGGGGTTATCCTTTTCTTAGAATTCTATGTAGCATAATTGTAGCCTCCAAAAATAGTTGGGTATTTGTAGTAATGCAGCCCATGATCCTTAGTACTCTGCAAGTACCTTAAGATTCATATAAGAGGAGTTTGATGGTCTCTTCTCAGATTATTTATGTACTAGCTCAAAGTACGACTGCAAAGCCTATGTCTTGCCTTATACAAACCTATGTCTGGCTTGCAACCGATAATCCAAGAATCAAGTTGATTCACTTTTACCATAATTACCAACTTCACAATAGTTAGTTGGAGTAAAGACCGCTACATTTGAAAAATGATTAAACTTTTTTTAGCATCTTCTCAATATAGTTGGGTTACGAAAGTGCTAAACCATATTCGGATCTTAAACTTTTAATTTATGAAATCAAATTGGCGCGTGCAAAATATCCTCCATGCCAAAAGTTCATATTAAGAACTTAATATACAAATAATGATGCCAAATTTTCATTGGGATCTACTAAAGATGCATATATTTGCAACTACAATAATTGCCTTCGTAAACTTAGCATGTCTTTATCAAGAAAAATTAGTATCATCAATGAAAATGATAATCTAGCACTTTCCTTTATGATAATAATTTACTCATTTTCAGTATGGATCAATTCCAGCATTAGTGTTGTAACGACCCAAACTCGGGGATCTGGATTGTTAGCCGGGTCCTTTTCCGAACCCGAGGTCACATAAATGTACTATGGTCATTTCATATCATTATAATAGTTTTAGAGTCCATAAGGGTATAATAGTCATTTATCGTGGTCAAATAATGGTTTAGAACCCAAAAGGGTAAAATAGTAATTTAATACGTTTATTATAGCTTCTAAACTCATCAGGGGTAAAGCTGTCATTTTCTATGGTCATTCTATGCTTTGGTTGAAGTCTAGGGGTAATTAGGTAATTATACTAAAATCTGGGGTCAAAATGCAATTATTAGCTCATCTAACTGGTTAGATGGCTTGGTCAGAGAGCATGTAAAACTGAGGATGCATCTAACCGGTTAGATGGAACTTCATTGCCCAACCAACTAACTGGGTAGATGGGAGCATCTAACTGGTTGGGTGGGCATTCGAACCCGATTTAACCGATTAGATGACCCAATCTAACCTGTTAGATGATGCCCAGAAGTGATCACTTCTCAAACATATTCAAATGTAACCCAAAACGACCAAACATAAAAATATAGTTCCATAGACATCATCAACCTTAAAATATTGCATTGAAGTATCAAAATAACATCATTTATACATCTTTTGAGAATAAAAAAAAAAAAACATATATACATGTCCAAAAGAATAAGATTACAAATCAAGACCTCCATTGCCATAATACAACGACTTCGTATGGAGTCGACAAAAGAATAAGGTCATTACATGTAGTCAATAGCTCAAAAGAATGCCTTTACAAAATATAACAAATTAATGGTCGCCATTCTATTTCTAAGCTTGTGGGGGGTACATTATCTACAACTTCCTTGTCATGTCCTGAAAATGTTAGAATATAGGGTGAGCACAACGGCTCAATAAAGATAACCTAAAATATACCTCTTGTAATCTTGTGAATCACATCCAAAGCAAATGATAATAAGAGAAGGGATCATACAAGGGGGGAAAGAAACAATTATACAACATAAGTTTAATCTCCATGCTTTGCAAATAATGAAATGAGATGGAATGAAATGCACTCTCTCTATTTCCGACACAACACAACTTACACCAAAAATGTTAACACAACCCAACCCTAGGAAATTCCTAGGCATCACGAAGGGAATTGACTAGCTATCCCTGACCTAGGGTGTCTCCCTAGCGTCATTTTGGCCAAGGTAGCTCAACTACACACGGCCAAATTCCGTCTCATGCCCCCTTCTAGATTGGTTAACCCTGGACCACATGACAACTCCAAGGCATCTGTATTTACAAAACCTTTCAAAACTTTCAAATCAATTTTTCACAAATCATTAGAAACCATTTTAAACATCCTTTCCAACCCAGGAACCCAACCAATGTCTATGATATGCATGTAATATACCAATCATTAACAATTTCTCAAGGAAATTAATTTCTAACATCATCATCATAACATGATTTAAATCAAATACGTCAAATTATCACATTTGTAACATGAATCATGTAAGACATAATCACTTCAAGAATATCAAATTTACAAATAACAACACCTTCACATATAACATGTTTTTCAATAAATACACATAATAGAAAACTCACAAAAACCCAAGAAATTGCAATTTAGACTTCCCTACCTCAATAAAATAACCCAAGCTCAAGATCCAAATACGAAATCCAACCAAAATGATGCAATGCTGGTGTCAAAACGTAGCCCTTTCCAAGATCTACATTTTCTCTAATTATGGTTCTTTACAAATTTGACCTTAACATAGAGAAATTCTAGAGAGAAGATGGAGATATGTAGAAAGAGAAAGAAGAAAATGAAAAATGAAGAATGAGGAAAAGGGGTGGCTGAAAATGGGAGGAAGAGAGAGTGATGAGGGGACATGGGGACGAAAAAAGGAAAGAAAGGGATGGGGTTTCTCTCGCTTTTGGCATAGCGGGCCCCTAGTGGGAGGCTCGCACGACGGGTCTTCTAAAATGAGTGGTTCTCATTTGTCCCCACCTTTGACCCACTAAAATACCAAACTAACTTCTCTTCTTTAAACAATCACACATATGCCACAAAAAATCTCTCCACCAACTAAACACACACACACACACAACACATCAATGCTCAAATAATTAAATAGATGAAATAAAATCACCGAGTCCCACATGGCGTGTAAAATGATGCATGAAAAAATAAATAAAAATAAAATCCAAAAAAATCCGGGACAATACAAGTGTATTTTGAACACGTTAATAAAATTTCACATGCTACATGTAATATGCTTTGATTCACATGAGCCTTACCATTGGTTGTCCCCAAAGTGGGTGTGTGAGTAATGTGTGTTTCTGACCAATGAAAAAAAAAAAAAAAAATCAAGTATATGGGATGCCATAAATTAAGAAATTTAGTAATGAAAAAATAATTTCATAACTGAAAATTGGCTCATTCTGACAAACATGTCATTTTTAGACGGAAAAATGATCAAATCAAAATTCACCTCAAACTCATACCTTGCAAATCTGAAGACCTCTTTCAAACAAATCACTTACCAAAAATTATGCGAGTGTCTGCCACTTTAAAAGTTCAAGAGTTCTCCTCTTGTCCATTAGGTCTAAAATTCTTAGTGCTATATATACAACAACTGTATGGAAAATTTGGAAAGAGAGTTCTCCTCTTGTCCATTAGGTCTAAAATTCTTAGTGCTATATTTACAACAACTGCATGGAAAATTTGGAAAGAGAGGAATACAGTACTACATGATGATGTTAAGGAACAAACTGCTTATACTGCTAGGACTATTGTGTGGGAGGTTTTGTCTTACCTTTCACTTGCTATAGATGATTTAAGTCTTGTGCTTTAAATGTTTTTCTTGGTTTTGTATCTTTTTGTTTTGTCCTAATTTTTACTGGATATAGGTTCTGTCTAGGCCTTTTTTTTTTTTTTTTTTTTTTGTAAAAAAGGAGGATGCTTCCTTATGCACTTATACAGATTTACTTTCTTATTTATATAAAAAAAAATACCCCATTCAGAAAAAAAAAAAAAAGAAGTTATCCTCTTATATTATCATTAGATCCCCCACTAGTCATAGATCTTGATGATTTTTGACTAATTAAAATGTGGAGAGATGTTCTAGTTTCAATCCATCGATGTCACATGTCTCGAAAAACAATAAACTTCTATTGTGATCTTTTCGTTCATCACAAAACATAATGTAATGAGGTGGAATATGACCTAGGAGAACTTTAATAAGTTTTCCTTTAAAAAATCACAAAAATTGGTTAGAGACAAAAATCTTCAAATTGTTGGAACTGGGCCGCATGAATGACAATATATTCAATCGCATGAATGACAATATATTCAATTTAAGAGGAGATAATCACATAAATATAAATACGTGATAAATAATAATATTATGAAATAACATAATTAAGAAATTAAATATAATTTCAAACCAAGCCTTAGAGGCGCGTAATCGCATCTTGAAAATAGTTGAAGCCTCTCCTAAGTGCAATCGGAATATCAAATTGCAGCACTATCACTGAGATTCAACTAAGCCTGATTCATTGATTTGTATGTCCAATAAGTAATACTTTTTATGAACCTATGTATTAATTTCCGTCCAATCATTTGTCCAAAATAAAATATAATTTAAAAAATTATATTTAAATACATATATCAATATATATTGAATGTACTCAGGTGTAATGTTTAGAATTCCATATGATTTGTTACTCAAAAGTTGGCCGGAATTTAAATTTCGATCGTTGGAATAGTCACCGGAATCCGGACAGAAAGGTTAGAACCTTTGTCGCAGTCTCACCAGAAACTCCATCGGAACCTTACTGGAATACAACAGAGTCTCGCTGGTTCCTTACCGAAATTTGGATTTGTCTGCTGAAAACTTCATCAAACCTTCGCAGAATCTGGGCTTAGTAGCTGAAAACCTCATCGGAACCCTGTTTAATCGGATTTCTCACCCTTAATATATAAATTTTTGCACTTTATACCATTCAATATGTCTTAATGGAGACGACAACACCACAAAAATCAGTGACACTAGGATTTAAGAAAAATTACCATCAACAACTCACCATATCAACAATCCCTTAAATTTCTTTTCTTTACACCAAAGTGCTGACACATTGTTAATATCAAATCAATATATGGATATCAAATCAATGAAGAAGTAACTTGATGATCAAAATATAGATATATCAAATCAATGAAGAAGTAACTTGATGGTCAAAATATAAAAATCGCCGTAATTATATTATATTTTACTCATACAAGTATGACATTTCATGGCCCTTTTATTAAAACAATCCATAACAATCCTACAGTCCTACTGCTAAAAAAGAACTTTGAAATTGAAAATAAAATTGAAGAAAAAAAACTAATTGACAGCGTGATAAAATTTGTCCTTACTTTTAACATTTGGGCACCCATATTTTTTTTTTGGATAAATTACCCCGACACCTTCTGTGTTAGATCACTTGCACCCCAAGTTAGTGTTTGGCTTCTGACGAATGCAAATTGATCCTTTTATCTCAATTTTTTTAATACAAAATATGTATAATTTTAAATGACAAAAATGCCCTATGTATATACGCACTATTTGTACATGCGCCGCCACCATCTTTAACCCACCACCCACAACTTCCTCTGTCTGTATATATAAAAATCCCGGGCGGCAACTCTACCTCCACGTCGCCGCCGCATTATCACAGCTCCACCACCAAATTGACAATACCCACAACCACCACCAAGCCTTCACCTTCGTCCCTGTCACAACATAGCGCCGAAATCAACAATAGAACGCGCACCGAAATCAACAACAGAATGCTAAGGACAGTCCTCCACCACACACGTATCAGATCTCGGCCCAGAGGAGTCCGACGATATCATTCACCGGAATCACTGTGTCGTCGGATGGCATGAAAGAAGCAGAGTGTAGAGAGTGGGGGATAAGAATCTGAGGAGAGAGTTTTGAAGCGTGGTCACCGCCACTACCGCAGATCGAGGTGGTTCATGACGGCGCCGCGTGGGTTGAATGCGCTGTAACATCGGTGATGGCGGCAATTCATTCTTGGCCGTCTGGTTGTCTTCAACTCTGACGACGACTGTGGCTAGATTTGAGCAGCTCTATTTTAGGGACACGGTAAACAATTCCTCAAAAATGTCAGGACATTTATCATTGATATCTTCCATCTCAAATAATTGGGGACCAAAAAAAAAAAAACAGAGAGAAGCAAACCTCGAAGAAGAAGACCATGACTGGGTCAACGAGTTTCTTGGAGCACCAGATTGTTCCAGTATAGAAAAAGACAAATTTCTTCGATTGCGCACAGGTAGTTCTAGTCTCTAGTTCCAAATCCAGGTTTCATCTTCAAATCAATTTTTGGAATCCATGTTGTGTTTGAGCAAGAAGATAAAGGTACCCCATACAACATTTATCCTTGTAACTGTGTGAGAGGATGAGAGAGAAAGGGGAAAAAGAAAGGTAGAGAGAGAGAGAGAGAGAGAGGAATCGGAGTGCATGAGGGCTTGAAAGAGAGAATGGGGTTCGAAGAGGAGAGAGGAAATGTGTGGAGGGGAGAGAGAAAGAGAAGTGGGGAGATTCGGGGCTAGAGAGAGAGAGAGTGGGATTCATGTTTGATGATGAATATTGTAAGGTTGTTGTAATGGGTTGGTAATGATGAAAGAGAGAGAGAGAGAGAGAAGCAAAGGTTGGTGATGGTGTTGCGGAACAAAGGCAGGGCGGTGGTGATTGTGATGGGTAGTATGGTTATAAAAATAGTCAATATGACGTCAAAGGTACGTGAAATGCTAAAATACTAATTCAGCTCTAAGTGAGGTTTAAAATCAAAATATTAATTTAAGCGTAATATGAACTAAACCATAGGGGTGTAAGTGTAATTTATTCTAATTTTTTTACAAAAAGGAGTGGCCTATAGAAATTTCTGATTTTCTGAATGAATGAAAACGAGGTGGGTCGGATGGATGCCCCGACCGTCAAAGAGTCAAACTCGCGCCGTTCGCCGACCGCAGCGCGATCGTCTCCATCGCCCATTTTTTTTATATACATATTTAATTATTTTTTCTGTCAAATCATTATTATATTTTCACATTGCTTTTTCTTCACGCATTTTTATCACGATCATAATAAATATCATTTCAATATATATCATCAATACGATCGCATCTAAATAATGTAAAATAGAAAACATATACTATAAATTAAGACACCCACTTTTTGAATCGCAAGCAAACATCCCCACATACAAACGTTTCTCTAGTCCAGGCATGACGCGCGAGATATATATATATATATATATATATAAATGGGAGTCATAAAACAAAACATGCAACTGGCATATATATGTAGTTTCTCTCTCTTCCCTGTTTGTAACAAATCAAATCAGACCGAGATGGAAGCAGAGACGTTCCTTAGTTTTGCTCAGAGAGAGGGACTGAAGAAGTAGTGGTACAAGGGAAGAGTGGGAGTTTGAGTAATTCGCATTCACAGCCATTTAATTGCAATTCTGAAATTTGAAAAGCAAAACACGTGACGTGGTTAGAGCTAGTGGTTTCAGACTCACACACACACCATATATAGATCCACCGGCCCATAACCACAACAAACACGTACACTCTTAACACCCCTAATTAATTTCACCATTCTCTCTCCTAGCCAGCCCCACCAGTCTGTCCTAGAAATAACTCCCTCCCATCATACATAGACCAAACCCTTTTCAATTTTTTCGATCACTACCAAATCGATCGAACAATTTCTCCCAAAAAAAAAGAAAAAAAAGAAAAAAAAAGCAGTATATATAGCTAGCCACTTTTACGTACTTTTAATTCAGAGATCGACCTTAAGATTGAAAATTATGGACAGTTTTGATTCGCAATTATCTAGGCAAAACTCATTGAAGGGAAGATGCTGGCAAGATCAGAGGAGATTACTCTCAGTCATAGACAACCATCACCACCAGTCCAGCTTCTATAGCAGATCAGTTGTTGTGGTTGGTACTACTAGTACTGCAGCTGCTCCACCGTCGATATCACCAACCTCCATGGGTAACCTAGCTAATAATCTCCAAAGTTTTCCAGTAATTGGTGGGTTTGATGATGATGATTTCATTTCTAAAGTGGTCCCTCCGGTCACTGTTGTGCTCGAAGGCCGTGCCATCTGCCACCGCATCAGCCTTCATAAGCATGCAGGCTACAAAAGCCTCGCCAAGGCCCTCCGCCACATGTTCGCAGTGGCCGACGCTTGTAGTACTAGTACTACTTGTGATGATGATCATCACAATACTGATCTTTATCTATCAACTGCTGTTCCCGGTCACCTCATTGCTTATGAAGACATGGAAAATGATCTTATTCTCGTCGGCGACCTTAACTGGAAGTAAATATATGTATATATATATAACCCTATGCATATATATATACTTCTCGTGCATATACATACAAATATACAATTATAGACATATATATATATGTACTCGACTGTGTTTACGTACTTATATATATATATGCTTTACAAATCATCCCATAGTCCAAAGTGACCAGGGAGTGGCGGAGTGGGTTGATTATTGGGTTAATTGGTTACCAATATATTTAATTTGGAAGGGCGGTTTTGAGGCTGTAAACATATATATGTGCATGCGTGATGCGTATCTCTTGTAGTACTTAATTATCTCGAAATTAAATTAATTGGATTAAGCGTTCTTGCTGGTATATGTACTTAATTAATTGTGATTTCAATCAATACAATATGAATATATTTGTGAATTGGGTTTCTCTCTCTCTTAATTTAGGGATTTTGTGACGGTAGCTAAGAGAATTCGGATACTGCCCGTTAAGGCACATTCAACGAAGGGAAGAGGAGGAGTTTAATTATTTTATTAGCTAAATTGCTGCTTTCTGGTGGTGGTGGAATTGCAAGGAATTGAAGTAAACAAATTAAGTTTTTGAATGTGTTGGCCGGCCGGGAGCTCCATCCAGGAATTAAGTGCGTGCTTAAACATTTTAATTTGTGGCTTTCTGAATGTAAAATTCCTAGCTTGTTTCACTATATTCATGAATAAATTAAAGGTTTATACCTTAGATTTTTAAATAATTTTTTTTTTGGTCAAGCAACTTACACACTCAGGTTGTTTCTATCATCAGTTCCTTGCATTTTCACTTCGGACGGAAAGTTAAAAAATACCACTAGATATGCGGGACAACAAGAAAGCACCACTAGGCTGAGCTGTAGTCTATATCCTAAATTTGTTCCCTAAATTAATTTACAATTCTCATCCTTATAATTAGTATATTATATATACATATAGCGTAAACTATAATTATTCATACCAAACATTAATTACAAATAAATATTTTATAATATTAGACAAAATTAGATCAAATCACAGGTTGATGAACATTTTAGAGTTAACTTGCACTTGCATGTTGAATAATGTTGAAAAGTCCATTCACATTTCACTCAAAGTCCAAATGCTACTTTTCAAATATGTCTTAGTACATTTTATATGCAAAATAACTATACTACTTTTTGACTTTGTGTTGACTTAACATAAGACTATTTCACTTATTAAATGACACAACTACGTTCATAGGACCACTATTTTAATTTACTCAATGTTATTAAATTTTTTAATAAGGAACGCTAAGGTCTTTTTACAGCTCTCTCTCGTTGACTATTTTAAGTCTCATTAATTATTCTTTCTCTATTCTCAAGATACGTGAAAAATATAATCTACTTTAAAATAAAAGTCATATTTTAAAGACAAAATTACCCTTTATATCTTTTTTCATTACTTTTCTTGTATCTCCTTCCTCAATCTATATACGTGTAGTATATATATATATTTTTGCTGTCTTTATTTTTTTCGTTTTTATTTCAATTGTCATCACTAGTTATTTTTAATTCTTTTTTTTTATTTACCTTTTTTTTTTTTTTTTCTAAATTGTTGCCATTAGCCTTTTTCCATCCTTCCTTCCATTTTTTATTTATTATTTATTTTTATTATTTATTTATTATTATTTTTAAACCAGGACAAATAAGAACAGGAGAATGTTTACCAAATTTAGAAAAAAATTTATTAAACCAAATTGTTATTAAATTTTAAACCAAAACTAATAAGAACGGAGGAATGTTCACCAAATTTAGAAAAAAAATTAAGAACAGAAATAAGAAAAAAAAATGAAAGGAAGGACAATAAAAAGGAAAGAAATAAAGGCAATAAAAAAAATATATATACTACATGTATTGTAATGATCCGGTCATTTTCATTCCTTTCCTTTTTTCGAATTTTTACGGATATATATTTTTTTTTTCCGTTGATCTTTTCCTTTCTGAGTTCGGTTTCTCGTTACTTAGTGTCATCTTGAGTACTCGGGAATGATTTCTGAGACTCTTTTTCGTGGATTGATGACTTCCTTTGAGAACCGAGTCATTTTCACATTTTCACTTTGTGACACTATTCACATTTCGTCTTTTTATCGGTTGTCACTTTTTAGCATAACCTCACTTTTCGTGTTCGGATTTGATTTCGGTTTTGCATGCATCCACGATATTTAAATTCCATGCTATGTGTATTTTCACTTTTGTAGAAAAGCATGCTAAGTGCTTACTTTTCTTGTAAAGGGTATAGACGCATGACTTTTTTATAATTTTCTAACTTTAGGGGTTTTTGTGTAATTACTGTAAAGTAATTATTTTTCGTCTTAGGGACCATTTTGTAATTTAATTTGGGAGATATTTTCAAAAAGGACCTTTTTGCAATTTTTGAAAAGTGTGACAAGTGTCACACTCTCATTGGTCCACTTGTTGACATGTGTGTGAAAACACTTTGAGGCCTTGGATGAGGACATGTGGAGGGTGGAGATTTAACCACTTATTGGCCTAGGATTGATGTACTTGTTGGCTTGGATGATTGACAAGTGTAGGCTTGAGATTTAGCCTAGGATGGAGCCTTGGATTTGTGACAAGTGTAGGCTCACAATTTAATCTTGCATTAGTATGTGTGTGAGAGGTAGTGTAAGAGCATATAGTGAGTGGAGAATCTCTATCCCTCCACTCACATTTCATCTTCATCATTTTCCATTTCCTCCCTCTCTTGTAATGAAAACCCTAGCCTCCATGGATGGAGCCTAAAGCCTTAAGCTTTGACCTTGATTTTTGAGAGCCTTCCATTGATTTCCAAGCTTGAACTTGGGAATACATTTTATTCCCCTTATCTTCCTCTTCATGACCCTAGAAGGGTTTGCCATTTTGTGTTGATTTTGCCTTGGATTCTAGAGAGACACTTCTCTAATGAGGTAAGGGATGTTTTAGGGTTGTATTTTTTGTTATCTTGCATGCTATTGATGCTTTTATAAGTTGTATGCATGTCCTTTTTCTAATTTGATAAATTAGTGATTTATCATATCTTGCATATAAACCATTTTAGACTTGGTAAATGACATGACCATGAGTTGATCTTTGATATATATTAATTTGGGATGATTTAGATGAGTTTTCAAGGTTAGAGATTAAATGGATTTAATTTGATTTAAATTCTAGTAAATTGTATTTTACTTGTATCCCATTTTGGACTTGAGATATGGTATGACCATGAGTTGGTGCTTGATATATGTTAATTTGGAATCATTTGAATAACCTTTGAAATCTAGAGATTTGATTAATTTAAATTAATTAAATACCATGTGATGCTATCTTGGTCATTTGATACTTTTGATTTGATATATGTAATGAGCATGCTATGTTGTTTAACATATATTAATTTGATGTTATTCGAATTTGATTTGAAATCTAGAGAATTTAATTATCTTGTTTAATTAAATTCTATCTAATGGCTCCATGGATCTATTGGTATTTTAGAAGTTGTTTCTATATTCAAATCATGGACTTGAACTTGTTATGTATTCACTTTGTTGTGTTTTGAGCATTGGACAACTTTGTTGTTATATTTATATTCTTGAGAACATGTTTTCTTTATAGAATATATTGATGCCATGTGTAGTGAATTGCACACTTTGTAATTGACATTATGTATGTCATTTTAGAATTGAAACTCTAAGACATGGATTGTGTGGTTTCAACCTACTTGTGCATGGAAGGTGTTTTCATGCATTATATAAGTTATGTATAAGTTGTGAACTTATTTGGTTTAATTTTGGAATCTTGGAACATTGTTGAGTTGAGATGGCTAGGGTTTGGCACTAACCCACAGGGGAGACCTCAATGACTTAGAGGACTCACGTCCCCTGTGGGTTAGTGCCCGGAATAACCATTGAGGTCTCGGCAGAATTCCGAGCTTAGATGTCCAAGTCTTCTATTATTTGTTTTCACATTCAATTCTAAGTTAACAATCATGTTTATATTGTAACTTGTGGTTTTGGTAATTGGCAATTTTGATGTTGTTAAGTACATCCATGTTTATGATTTTAATGAATCATTTTGATGTTGTTAAGTACATCTATGTTTTATGATTTTTGTGAATCATTTTGATGTTGTAAAGTACATCTATACTAAATTGCTATATTTAGTTGATTGCACACTTTTAGATTTCTAGTTGATAACCTAGAGAACCTATGTCTTGATGTGTGGTATTAGATATTTTAATTATGTTAAATTGTTATATTTAGTTGATGTTGCATTTTAGACTTCAAGTTGATTACCTTGAGAATCTATATGTTGTTACTTTGTGAAAGCATGCTTTTATGTTGTTGCCTTGTGTAAGCATGACCCTATGTTGCAAAAATTGCATGAATGAGGTGATTGCTGCTAGAAATGATCTTAGGTAGCTAGGATGCTCCTCGAGTCTCACCTTTGACATAGACGTTAGGTGGAATGAATTACAATAATTAAATCATGTAAACTTATAAAACGTAGGTCGATGCATGCTCATTTCCTATGAGTAGCTTTATGTTACTCACTCTTATGATACTGGGGCATATTTCAGGTACAAGAACCAAGGTTGCGATTCTCGTCATGCTTGGATGATTGGTGGACTTGAAGATTTTCATTTCTTGTAAAGGTTGGCTTAAAAAGCCATTTGTAGCCTTATATGTCAAAATATGTATATTTGAATTTAAACATGTAATGTGTACATGAGTACACTCCTTACAACGTATTTGACATGTATGAGAAGAGGTCGGAGGCCAATGACATGTATTTGTATTCTATGTAGTTTTGACTTCATGAAATATTATGAAAATATTGAAAATGTTAAGTTATTGTCTCACTATGTTTGCATCGGGTGTGGGAATTCCGTTTTGATTCTTCCATAGGATCTCATTAATCATGCATGAAGTATGGTCAAGGGCCAAATGGCAATTTCCAATCATTTGCTAATTTTGGTTTTCAAAATACCCATTTCAAATTCATTTTTGCTTTTTTGGTCGTTGGGGGGTCGAATTTTGACTCGACCATTTCTGGGAGCTGCGGACCATTCTCGTGCGCTCAAAATCACTTATTACGTTTGCGTGCATATTCGTTTCAGCCTAGAAGTGCATTTGGGGTCAAATGTATGTTTGGTGCAAATTCACATTTTTGCCGTTTTGAGCCTTAACTGAGTATAAGGGCATTTTGGAATTTTCACTTAAAAAATAAAGTTTTCATTTGACATGATTGGCTAGAAAACATGATTTTGAGGGTAGTTTCTTCTTTGTGTTTTTCTCCAAAAGGTCCAGAAAGTCATTAAAATTGCATTTCAAGTTGGCATTCCAGGCGCAGCCTACAGTAGTTCGAGCGCTCTAAAGGGGGAGTTCGAGCCCTCTAACTTCGGGCAGAACTCTTAGGGAAATTTTTGAGCGCTCGAAGCCCTTGCTCGAGAGCTCAAAGTACTGTTCACGGGTGTGTGTGTGTCTTGGTTCAGCACTGCACCTCCGACTTCAAATCATCATATCTTCTTCGTTTTAACTCTGAATTGGTCCGTTGTTGAGTCTAAATTGACCGCGTTGAAGTAAGATTTCCAATGGTACCAATTTTGGATTCAGATTATTCTTGTAACTCAAGATATTCAAGTTTTAGTAAGGTAGTGTCTGTTTTTGGTTCGAATCGGGATAGGGTTTCCCTTCTTTCGACTTCAGAACTTGATATCTGTGCCGTCCGGACTCCGAATCAAGTGATTCTTGAGTTTATATTTATTATTTTTTCATTGTCTTTCCAATAGTGTGCACGGTGGCACCCATTTTAGTGTGAAATGACCATTTTGGCCCCCTAGGTTCATTCTTATCCGTTTTTGAAACGTTACTTCCGCATTTTCTTCCTTTGGGTTTCGTGACCTCATTGAGGGTCACATTGGTGTCTTAGAGGAGTGTTGTATCTCTAGAGACCATTATTCTATCTTTTGCTTCCGCATTTTGGATCCGTTTTAGGTCATCACAGGACACACTGTGTTGAAAAATCCAAGGTCGTCACACGTATATGGATTAAGGGAGGAGATACAAGAAAGGTAATGAAAAAGGATTTAAAGGGTAGTTTTGTTTTTAAAAGGTAAGTTTTGTCTTAAAGAATATTATATTTTTCTACGTTCCTTAAGAATAGTGAAAGAGTAATTAATGAAACTTAAAGTAGCAAATGAGGAGAACAAAGGACAAATTTAGACACAAATGTTGCCATATGGTGTATGAAATTACCCAACACTATAGTAATTAAAACAATAAATACCAAAAGTCCATTTAGAGATTAATTTGCAAAACATTAAAAAAAATAATAAAAATAAAAATAAAAATAAAACATTTTCTTTCTTCCGCTCCTACTAATGGCCAAAACAATATCCGAACATTCGGACCTTTGTATCAAAATATTGAATGTCTTGGTTCAATGCCACCTCCAAGTACTTGATCCTCATTTTGGTTGATTGCCTCTCTTCTATCCAAATCCAAAACCATATCTCTGCACCCAGTTTGAGTATCTTCCAATTTCAGAGAGAAAAAAAAAACCTCATAGATTTACACCCAAAATCAAAACCCATATATATAGAGAGCGAAAACAAAAATGATGTAAGAAAGAAATGATGGGGGTGATCGTGACCGTAACCGTGACTGTGACTGTAGCCGGGGCCAGTCTACAGAAAAGTGACGCTGACGAGATTTTGATTTGATGTGCTCTCTCAAATTGCTTGCACTTTGCGGTAAAAGAGGGTATGAGAATCATGGCGGCCGGTATTGGCGATCCAGCGAGAGAGAAGGTTCCAATGAGATTTCCAATCTGCTAATTTGGTATATTGTCCTGTCTCAGTTCCATTAAATAAAATTCTTTAGGTTAATTATAATGACACCCCCCGAGGTTTGACATAATGACAACTATATATAAGTTAGGCCATGTTTGAATGATTACACCCTTTTAGGTTTCATAAAATTAACAAAGACACCCCAATGGTCCTGAATTGACATTATTACCCTTTGACACATTCAATTACCAATTTATCCACTACAATTATTTTTCATTGACCAAAATACCCTGCCATAACCACCAACCACCAGTCCACCACAGCAACCACCACGCACCAGTCGCCACCACCACCAATACTGCCCCCCTTTTTTCTCTCTCTCCACCCACCACTGCAACATCTACCACCACAACCAAAACCCATCAATTGAACCCACAAAAAACCCAGTCAATTGAACCCATAAAAAATCCCAATTGCGCGCACACAAATTTATAAATCTCTTCTTCTCTTGAACACACACATATATCTGTACATATATAGATACATATACACAAGCAAATTACACGTCTTCCCTCTTTTGCACAGAGGCAGATACATATACACAGAAGCACGCACACAACCACAACCACATCACCCCTACAGAAGTTGGGTATTCTAATTTCTCAATCAAAATGATCGCAAACAATTGAAATCATCACCACCGCAACCACATTTCTAAACACAAACGAGCCGCTGCCGACGATGATGACGAAGACTACTCAACCTTCCTCTAGCAGCCACCACCACTTGACGCCCTCAACAACTGCCCAACCGACTCAATCAACTCGCCCTCCTCAACTTAATCAACTCGCTCCCAGACTCACAAAACTGGTTCCCACCCAATCCAAATTACTTTAACTCATTCAACTTGCTCACCTAACTCTGAATCACATTCCCAATCTTAAACCCCGAGAACTGTGAACGCCACCAGAAACTTACCACCTTTTCCGTCATCCGCAGTGGCAATGAACACTTCCTCGACACAAGAGCTAGATGGCGATGGCGGCAGTGGGTAGAGAAATTGAGGTGGAGAGGAGAGAAAGAGAGAGGAAGAAGAGAGGAGATAAATGATGGAGGTGGCTGCGATAGTGGGGGTGGCAGTGACGTTGGGTGGATAGGAGAGAGAATGGAGAGAGGAAGAAGAGAGATGAGAGGGATGGTGGTTGTGGCTGCCATGGTGGGTGTAGAGAGAGGGGCGGCCATAGTTGTTTGTGGTGGTGGCGACTGGTGCCCCTGTCATCCCTGATGCTTTTATATATATATATATAAGGGTAATAATATAAATAATGTATATATATAAGGGCAAATTTGACTTTTCATAAATTCTGATCTTTTATAATAAAATTAAATTAAATATTGAAGGGTAATCTCGTCTTTTCAAGCATTTTTAGGGCTTGTTTGGATCAAAATTATCAGAGGGGGTGTCTTTGTTCAAAAAACAGTTAAGTTGTATATGGCTATCAATATGTCAAACCTCAGGGGGTGTCGTTGTAATTAACCCAAATTCTTTTTAGAAAGGTGGATGTCTGCGTTCAGGTTCTATGTGTTTTTTTTTTTTTTTTTTTTTTTTTTTTAGGGTTAAGTGAAATATATATATATATATATATATATATATATATATATATATATATTTCTACTATTGATATTGTGCAAAACAGTCTATGGGCCCATTTGACATAACTTTACTTCTGCTTTTACACAAAAGAAAAAGAGAAGTAGAAGTTATCACTTATATTTGCCTTATATGTTAGTGTTTGGGAACTTCATTTTAGAAGAGCTTTTAATCTTAGAAGAGATTTTTTTTGTCTGTTTGGCAAAACTTTTATTAAAGTTATTCTACTACTAATATAACTATTTTGCCCTTAAAAGAAATTTATTTATTTTTATTATTATTATTATTTTTAACCTAAAGTAGTTTAACTATTTTTTTATACCACTCTTTTTAAATATATACGAATAAACTATTTAATATAATAAAATTTACTCATATCCCATATATAATAATAAAAATAATAATAGATTGCAAAAACCATTGATGGTTTAAGAAATTTAGACAAGCAAACCTAGGCAAAATAAAATTGAAGACAAAAAAGGATATGAAGGCAAAAAGAATATGCTGGTAATTGGTAGAAAATAAAACCAAGAATGAATCAAATTATAGATTGCTAAGAGCGAAAAATATATATATGGAGGTAGAAAGAGACTTTTTGTATCTATTTACAGAGAGAGATGAACTTGGCCGATGAATCAAGGACCAAAGCCAATCCCAGGAAACATGAAAGTAAAGCTTGAAGAGCAATTTTTTACCGAATGAATTTTTCAGTCCCTCTCACAAATGAAAGTTCTGTATCAAGTATCAACCTACCTTCCATAAAGGTATTACAAGGCTATAAAGCCGATATGAATTATGAATCGAAGTATGACTCAATGTCTCTATATATTTGTATGAATCGAAGTATGCCTCTTTCTTCTTCAATGATTGTATGAATTGAAGTATGCCTCAATTATATATATATATATATATATATATATATATATATTTGCATATGGCTGTATATTGCTCTGGGTTTTCCTCCGATTGAGGGCTTGATTATAATCTTTTGAGTATGAAGGGATATACAGAGGCGAGTTGCGCAGCACTAGGGTTTGGAAAGAAAATTAAAGGTCATTTTATAGGGACACGCTTGGGATTATATTGTTTTATTTGGTAGTAAAAGGGATACGCTTGTCATTTTAAAAAGTTTCATTAAAACACCAAAACTCTTCCCGTGTTGTTTCAAAAGAGCGATTTGGAAAAGCTGGAGGGTACTAGCTTCTCCAAAACGCCCTTCCAAGACCCAAAAGCTCTTTTAATAAACTAGCCAAACACTACTCAAAATATCTTCCAAACCCAAAAAGCCAAAAGCAGCGTTTGAAAAGCCAATCCAAACAAGGCCTATGTGTGGTATAAAATCTTCCTATACCATCAATTGA